AAAAAAAATTAAAAACATTGTTTCGTAGCTATTTTTTGGTCTAGTGATATTCGTATCATATGTAGAATTGCTGTATAGACTCGCAAGTGATTTGGTACTCAAAACGAAGTATTATTCAACGCTTTTTTCCATTAGAAACCTTTTAGAAATAGCTTTATTTTTAAAAAAAGCGTGGTCAATTTTTGTTTTGTTTTGATCATGCAGTTGCGTGGGATAGTTCACGTACTGGTCCCGCGAACATCCCGCACGCAACTGTAGGGAGCCTCCTTAAGCAAGGCATTTGATCTTATTCCACACAATCATTTGCTGACAAAACTATCAGCATATGGAACATGAAAAATTTGCAAAGTTATCATCATGATAGATCTCAGTGAGTGAAAAGAGAGGATATTACGTCTGACAGGGTCTCCGTGACTAGAGATGTACCTCAAGGTTCAGTTTTGGATCCCCTGCTATATTTAATGTCTTTCTGAACGACCTTTTCTATTTCATGAAAGTGGCCAAGCTGTCCAGTTATGCCGACGATAAACAGTCAGTACTCTACTAATGATCTAAATCCCGCTGCCGTAGAAGAAACTATCAAACAAGAATTTAAAATTGCAAATAACCGCATATTATGTGGTTTTTCAATAATAATTTGATTTTGAACCCAGAGAAGTGTAAAGCCATGGTGATTTCAAACAATACTCAAACAGATATTTCGGTGTTTGCAATAAACGGAAAAACAATACCTAAGGTTGACAGTCTTGAACTTTTGGGAACTGTGGTTGAAAAATCGTCATATTTCTCAAATCATATTTCAAAGATTGCCAAAAAGGTGGGAAAACAATAGATGTCTTAAGTCAATTTCAGAATATCCTCTCATGTTCTACAAAGGTGTGCCTGTATAAACCCTTCATCATTGCGCACTTCAGTTACTGTTCTTCTGTATGGCAAAATTGTTCAAAGGCCAATTGGAACAAATTGGAAAAACTGAACGAAAGAGCGTTGAGATATATTTACGATGACTTTGGCACAGATTACCATGATCTAGCTGGCAGTAATGGGGCTACGCTAGATGACCAACGAAAAAATGAAATTTTAAATATTGTATTTAAGGCATTGAATAATCAATTACCTTCGTATATTACTAACATGTTCAAGCTGAGGGACAACATTAAGAATTTAAGAGGCACTAACAAATTAGTGTTGCATCGGGATAATACCACACGTTATGGACTTAAATCTAAAACTTATGTAGCAAGCAAGGAGTGGAATGCCTTTCCTGATGAAATAATTAAGAAACATAGTAATATGGAAGGACTTTAAGACAGCAGTAAATATAATTTGTGTTTTATCTATTTTATTCCTTCTCTCCTTTACATGTTTTTGTTATGGACGCCATCTTAAAAAAGTTCCCTCAATGTCCCCAAACGTCCCTATTTATCCTATCTTAATCGTCTACTTAGAATAAATTAATATGCAATACCTAAATACCTAAATAAATCAACCTACATCATCCCCTATTTTTTTCAATTTTTGAAAATATGATAAAAATCCTATCTATGAATGTTAATGAAGCAACGTTCTGTCATTTACTCCTAAGTGTTTTAACATATACATTGGATTAGGTTTCCTGGTGCGTTCACTACGCCTTAATAGAGGTGTACATGTAGCCTGCTTCTCTTCAAAGCAGCATTGTCCGTCCTCTTCTGTATCTGCTTCAGGCCATTGAATTTCTTTAGTACCATCAGTATCTTCTTGTTTATCTTCATAACTCCGCTTCCTTAGTTTGAAAGGTTTTATATCGTCAGATGGGTGTCGACACAGCGTTAATCCGGTTTCTTCTTGCTCAACGATAATCTTATTTCCTACTTCGTTAATATCAATGATCTTAAACGGTTGGTTGAGGAAGATTGGATCAAACTTCGCTGACCGGCGATAATTTCCGATCAGCACCTTTTCGCCCACGTTGAAATCAGTTTTCTTTCTATATTTGGAGATGTTGACATCATTCTCGCGATGTACTTTTCTATTTCTGTCCGTTTCCTTTGCTTTTCTTGCTTTTTCCTCGGTTGCACATCTTCTTGGGAACTCTAACCGTTGTCCATCTCGGAAGAGCATGGCTGCTGGAGGAATACCAGTTGCTGGGTGAGGTATTTGCTGGTTATTATTCATTGTTCTTTTCAAGGTTTTATTATCGACCACGCCCTTCTGATGTCCAATCTTCATAGCCTTACCCCAAAGACCGCATAAATGTTTCTACGGGGTTCGAAGAGGGATGTAGTGGAGGTGAGTGCCGCAGTTCAATTGAGCTACTTGCTGGAAACTTCTGCATTCGAGCGCTATTAAATGGTGGGCCATTATCCTATATTTGGACCTCTGGATTTCCGTAGGCTCCATAAATTTCACTGAGTGCTGGGATTATTGTGAAAATATTTTATTATGAACAATATTTAAACACGGTACAATTTCACCTACTAATATTAATTATGTACACAATATAAAAAGAAAAAAAGGTGATCAAGCAGAAATAAAAGAAATATTATTTACAAGAAGATTATTTTAGGTAGATGGAAACAATGGCAGGATCACTTGATGTTAATTTGCATGTTTCAAGTTAGACTTAAAATTAGCAGTAGTTGTCGATGCTTTTAGCGATGCAGAAAGGCAGTTCCAGACTTCCGCACCTCTGCAGGAGAATGCATTTTTCTTACTATTTGTTTTTGGTTTAGGCAATTTCAAATCGGCTCCCGGCTGTCTTGTGTTATGGTCGTGTACATCACTCACATTTGTGAACATATCACACAAGTAATCGGGGATCAATTTGTTTTTCACCTTGTACATGAGAATTGAAAGTGGTTGCATTCTTCTTTTTTCGAGGTTCGGAACTCCTAGCTTGGTTAATATATCAGCCGATCGTGTCGTATAATTCTCACGAGTGATTATTCGAAACGCTCTGTCTGCTTGACTTGATGTGACCAGTTTGGCCGCTGGGAATCGCGACGCTAGATCTTGCACGACTACAACATGTTTTCACGATAGCATCGGTCCAAACAAGTCGACTGCTACGGTGTCCCAACATTTTTCTGGGACCTGATGTGGTTTGGGTAGTTTTTTAGTCTTCTTATCTACGAACATAGTACGTCGTCGCATGACTCAACAAACTCCTTCACTTTCTTGTTCATATCATGTAAGAAGAAGTGGTATCTAAGCCTTCTTTCTAGTCCGCTTTGGCCGGGATGCCCTCCTCTGTGGGCAATCTGAATGGCCATCTCTTGGAGTTCCTCTGATAAAACAATTCTTTCATCTTTCAATATTATACCATTTCCAGTGACCGTAAGCTGTGGCAGGAAGCTCTTAAGACAATGCACCTCGATTGCCTCCGTCTTTGGAATACAGGTCAACCCTTGATTTATGAGCTCCCTTATCCTTGCAAGAGTTTGGTCTCCTTTTGTATACTGTGCAATTCTTGCATAGTCGATACAGTCGAGAACCGGAGTGGTGTGGAGCATGTATAATAGATTGTTTAAGTCGTCCACTTCCGCTTGTTCCGACTGTGGCAGTTTTTGTAGCGGCTTTGAGTGCTTGCTTTGCGAAATTTGGAATGAATTCTGCATTCAACTGCATCATATACAGGAAACTTACTAAATCTTCCTTCGATCTGGGCGGTGATATGTAGTTGAGCGCATCCACCTTAACAGAACTCGATCTTACTCCGGAAGAAACAATACGCAGTCCCCAGAATTCAATTTCTGATGCTCCAAAAGTGCATTTATTTGGGTTGAGAGTTATGCCGGCACTGAATATGGCTTTCATGACTTCTTCAATTGCTTTGTTGTGTTTTACGTCATTCTTTGCTGCGACGATTAGGTCGTCGTGTATGAGGTGCGCTTGCGGAATATTAGCAAATAAAGGTTGAAGGGCTACGTTAAGCTCGCCTTGTGCTGTTTCACTCGCATTGTAAGTCCTTGTACCTGTGCAGTTTGTCGTTCGCGTGGAATACTGTAAGATATCTTGAATCTGGATGGAGCTCGATTTGCCAGAATGCAGACTTGAAATCCATCTTTGAGAAAATGTTTGCCCCGCTGAGCTTTGCTTTAATATCCTCTGTCTCGGAATAGGTAAATTTGACGCTTGGATGGCCTTGTTGACATTACGTGCATCAAGCGTTATGTGTATAGTCCCGTCCGGTTTTGGTGCAATTACTGCGTTGGAGACCCAAGGTGCTGGTTCTATAGGTGGGTGTTCGTCGATTACGTCTTGACTCACCGTTTCTTCGATGACCTTTGCAACTCGATCGTTCTTTAAGATGGTAAGGCCTCAGGTACATTAATGCCTGGGTCTCAGTTTGTGTATTTAGCGAAAATACACAAAAAATCATAAAAATATAAGTATGGCCTTGATTATTACCATTCAAGTTTTATATGATTTATCAAAGGAGATTCTAAAAGTTGACATACTTTTCGTCGTCATGGCAACGATCACGTGATGTATATTTCGAAAAACAACACAAAAAATAGGTACGCAAAGCGTACATGTATCTGCGAAAAAACTTGATTCACATTTTGTATTTCCTTGAAAAGAACTGAATAATGAAGATGACATGGGACAATTGAAATATTTCATCAATTATTATATAATAAATATAATAGCAAATAAGACTTTAGCGGAGTGCAGCAAGGACAACTGCCCCCCGCCGATAAAATGTAACTAATTTTATATAAATGTGATTATGATTGTAACATAATTATGCAGTCAAGAAATAAAAATGTCATGCAAACAATATTTGAAGTGTCTATACAGCCAACAGCCGGCTATTTAGTAAACTGTCACTTGTCAAGCCATGAAGTTTCAAAACTTTATTGTAATCATATGATCAGCAAAAGTTCTGTCACTTGTTGTTTACAGTTGCCAATGGTAGGGGTGCACTGGAACTCGGTTCCGGTCGGAACCCTGATTTGTGAGAGTTCCGGTTCCGACCGGAACTAATAAAAAACCATGGCCGGAACCGGAACTTTGTCCTTTTCAGAGAGATAGAATATCAAGTTTATTTATTGAATAGCATAGGACGAAATTTGGACTACACAAGATAAATGTACACTATTA